AAAATCTGTCTGATCATCGGAATGAGATTTCATTTCCGATATATATTTGTGGTCGGTTAAATAAATGTAACAGCCCGAAATTCGCATAAGCTTTCGAAACTCCGCCGACATCTTTTGTTGATGACGTCACAATATTGTGACTTTTTCGCGGAAAAGTTGCAAAACCAGGCCCACATGTATCGTCATGGAAACTTGTTACGTTCTATGTTAAGGCTATGAGATGATCACTCCACTCAACGGGGACAATGGGTTTTGAGTGGATATCAGTGTAAATTGTTGATATTTATCTATATATAAAATAGATATAACCCGTCTGTCATAGGAATAAATATCTCTATCTAGATTAACTCTCAAACTGGTTGTCACAGAAATTAATGTTTTATAGGTACTCAAATCGTCATAGAAATTAACATAAAATAAATAAATGCTTAAACTGTTATAGAAATATGGGTATTTTATTTATAGATACACACTTAAACTGTCATAGAATCAATGTATTCATAGATACATGTTTTTCTGTCCACACTGCATGTAATGAAACATAATCTTTTTATATATATACCAAATCTGTCTGTCATCAAAATAAGTATAGATTTATATATAACCACCCCAACTGACTGTCAAAAATATTTTACATCTAAAAACAGATACACAAACTTTCTGCCATAAAATAATCTATAAATAGATATCCAAACTAGCTGCCATAGAAATTGATATTTAATTATATTTAGAAATCCAAACATTAGGGGGGAACAGTTCTTTGTGAGGTTCACTTGTCAAGTCGACTTTTAGGTGCTCGGGATAAAAGTTAGAGGTCAAAATAAGAGGTAAAATTCTAAAAAACAAATAGCGGGGTAATCTGGGGGTTTTTTCCCAGTAACCGGAAGTAAATTTTAACAGTGGACTCGCCATTGGAATTACTCGCTTACACACAAGCTTCACGCAATGAATCTACCTCTGATTTAAAAACAAATAACTTGATTACGTCCTAAAGCCAAGTTAATATGTAGGAAGGGGGCATTATAAATGTACGTAAGTGGTGCTAAGTGTGTTCCCCTTCGCTTGTCATGGCCGTCAGTCACAACATCCTAGCTTGCTCCCTTTGACAAGTATGATATATGTCTCTGTTTTAAGCTGATAGAGTGGATTTACTTCAAATCATTAGCTCAATGTCATACTTTCTGTTCAAATATATCCACATTTGTTCGTCTGGCCTAAGCCATTTCTGTGTTCTCAGATCGTTTAATGGGTAGCCTGACATGCCTCACTACATCCAAGCTCTCCTAGAATCTCTGGTGCTTTGATATACTTCCCTGGTGCATTTACCACTTAATAAATGAGCAGTGAATCACAGCCATTTCAATATTATGACGTAAAAGAAATAAAAGAGCTCTAAGATGTTACAATGGGCTCTAGAAGCCTGATTTGCAGCATTGTACACAAGATATTCAGTCCCGAGTTTGAGCAATCGTTTAGTGTCTGTTAGCTCATTTGCCGCCATTGATTGGCACCATGAACAGAACGTCGGCTTCCTAGCGGGAGACCCATAACGTCGCCAGCAAAACAGCCCGAACGCCCTCTCGTATCAACTATGTATTTCTATGAGCGTTAATGAAATTTGATACGATTTTTGAATTAATTTCTCTTTTCCTGTTCCTGTTCATTCAATTGATTTTACTTCCTATATGCCCTAATTAATACACGCTTAATTAGGTAAACAGTACAGCGGGACCTGCGCCTGATGATAAAGTTGTCCATCTAACTATTGGTCCTCACGAACATGGCGTCCATGGTCTATCCAAGTAACGCACATCATATAGGCACCCTTTCACACCAGTATATAGAATTGCTAGATTTTATTCAACTGGAAACTAATGGCAAAACGACTAACCATTTCAACTTTTTCGTTATTTTCCCAATCGAACAGTTATTTAATGAAGCGTTCCTCGAAAGGATATTAAGTGTTTCAAGTAAAATTTGATAAAAGCTTAAACGAAAAATAATGTATTTGAGTCAAATTGTAGCTACTTAATCCTGTTTAAAAATGGACGATCAGATCACCCTCTGTTTTGTTTTACAAACACATCTTCTGACTGTGTTAATTAACAATTGAAACATCACAAAGCAACTTAAGTACTATAAATTTATCTTTAAACAGACACCTTCCTTTTCATTTTTATTAAATAATACGATTTTTGGTTTCATAGTTAATAGCATCAACTATTAACCATTCACCAAACGTCTGTGNCCAAACGTCTGGGGGGGGGGGGGGTGTAGAAGAGAGAAAACTTCCTATAATAAGCCACGTTTTTCCAAAAAAAAGGGAAAAAAGGGATTTGTCTTAATTTACAATTAAGAAAAGTTATTTTAACTTTTCACCAAGGTTTAAAATCGTCCGCGAGTTACAGATTTGTCGGGTATCTCCGTTCATCGTGTAGTTTGTGAGCATATTGTGTTTATTTATATTATAAAGTAGTTTTTGTTTTAACCTTACGAACTTATTACCGGCGAAAAGCTTGCTTTTAATGATTTGTTTGCCTTCATCAACCCTACGCCGACAGGGAGTTTGACGACACTGTCGGCCAGACGCTTCTGTGGTGTCAGGGTTTTCCAAATGTTTGTACGGCATACGGATCCATCATAAAGACTGAATATGATCTAAAGTACTGTGACATTGGTTTCTTGTCGCTTATCGTTTTGCTATTTCTAAAATATATTTAAACGAATGAAACATAAATTGTAAAATAAAGTAACATGTTATATATTTCCTTTTCATAAACAAAACTAATATCTATTAGTATACTATACTAAACAACCTATCAACTGCGGGTCCTCCTATCGTGGCTCGGAACTGATAAAGCCGCCGACATCTAGACATGGCGAGCTTTGTTGTATCAAAACAGATATAAACTCTCCATTCGTTGGGATCTTAAATTTATTTGTCCATGAATTTAGTTTTCTCACAGATTTACAAAATCCCTCTAACACCGCTACAACAGATCGTAAAAACATTAGTCAGTACGCTCGGCCCGTCGTCTGTAGCCGCCGCCGGAGACTGGGTGGAGAAAATACCTCTCATACTGGTGTTTGGGACAACCGACTCTCTAAACAATATATACACACTCATTATATCCCCTCCGCGAACACACAAACAATGCCAATCTTTCCCCCCTCCAAGTTGTCCCAACGAACCGTTTTGTGAGTGTTTTTACTTTACAATTAACTCCAACCTCCAAGTTCAGCGGCTGATTCCAGCACGTCTTAGATACAGGAAGCGACGACATTGCATTCCTTAAATTATTTACAACCTTGATTCTGTTAAATCTATTTGTATATGCTAACCGTGTACAACCGAGGGCAACATTCTTCTTGTAATAATTGGAGATTTGCGCATTCGAAAATACAACTTTAAAGAGGATGTTTTACATACATATAGGCGACAGATGTCGGTCCATGTTGAGACCTATGTACACTCTAATATGGAAACGCTTTTAAATGTATGACTTTTTTTCGTTCTTGTACACAAACTTTTTATTCCTTCTAATGGACTGATTCGTTCTGCTTATCTTGACGAGTACAACTAAACCTCGTTAGTGTGGACTCTTTGTTATCTAGAGTATAAAAGTTCAGAACATCGAATTTTAATATCATTGAAATAGTAATTGCAAAATGATATTTCTTTAATTTAGTAAAATTAAGCAGCTGGAAAAATGTTATGCAGTATCCGGTAAAGTCATGTATCAACTATACTGACTTTATTTTATTCTTGATTAAACAGTCAAAATATGGATTTAAAAAANGGGGTCTTTTGTAGTTCATACTTGTGTTCGTTGTTTATTTGTTGAAAACAAAAACAAGAAAAGCCAAAAGAAACCAATTTCGATAATGTTTAACTCAAAAAAGAACACGAAAAATCTATAATCAAAATCGATACATAAATAAAATAAATATGGGGTTTTTTATGACATTAAAGAGTGTATTTTCTACTCAATGAAAAAGGGGAACAACAACAAAAATTAAGGGGAAGCAATTTAGGGGAGATAACTAAAAATTATATTCTGGACGCGTTATTTAGTGCGTGATATAATGGGAGAATGTCAACATCCTGTGTGGACATAAAATGGGGATTTAATCGCTGTGTTCCTTCGTGACACGGACTGACTTAACAGCCGCTATTATCTACACGCTTCCGACTTTACCTCCATAGCTTTGTCACATTCTAAAAGTCCAATTTAACAGTATCTTAAAATATCCTATTTTTCTTCGATTTCGAATAAAACACATTTAATCTTTCTTTAAATATTTCAGTGACTCTTTTATACGATTATTGTCAATAGATCCGTTTGCTAACTCCCATATAGACAAACAGACAAAAGGATTTATGTGCTAGCACCTGGGTTCTAACTTAAAATTCAAATTCTATACCTCGTAAAATTTGGATGTCTATTTTTCTAAAGGTCGTTTTCCGACCTCTTGAGTATATTTCATCGCTAATAGAAGCATCTTTGGGTTTAATGGATCATTTCTGTCAATGGAGAACGACCCATAGAAATCAGAGTAAGCCATTCTCGCAAAGTGCTGTACAAGTGTACCAAGTAACCCACTAGTGCTCGAATATACCCCTCCTAATGGTCTAAACATAAGCAGGTTCTTTATCGATTTACTATATTTTATTATGCATGATATCCGGTCAACAATTTTATTATTATTTCCTTGATAATTTATGCTGCAAACTTCTCTATTTTCACGATAATATTCCGAACATAGATTTTAATAAGAGAGAAAAAAACATTATATTGAATTTTTCCTTCGTTCGTTTTGAACTTCATTTTTGGTTATTTTGTTGAACACACAGCAATTGTTATACAAGGAGATGCATTTTCGCAATTTTAAGAAGCTTGTTTCTTCAACCTTTTGGGGGTCGTTTTCTAACAGTTTTAAATGCATTATTCGTGACGAGAAACACATTCAGTAGTTGACATTTTGTTTGTTTATTGTAGGTATGGTTTCAAAATAGGCGCACAAAGTGGAGAAAGAAGCACGCTGCAGAAATGGCCACTGCAAAGAAGAAACAGGAACAAGCAGAAGAAATGGATGAAAACTCCGAGGACATGGAAGATGATGGATCAGACGAAGACAAATTGCAGGACAGACTAGACGATTTTCTGGAACATCAAGGTTTATAGGTGTTTAGTTACCATAATAATCTTTAGTGATGGTTCCGATAACGACACTCATGTCACGTAGTACACAATCTATGATGACGTAATACAGAAACACGTCACCTAGAGCGCTGAGTGAGGTGACGTAGATAGATACGTCAGTATAAACATGTACAATGGTGACGTAGAGAGGGTCACGTGACTGGCCCTTATAGTGACCAAAGAGTGGTCAGAATTCCGGAATGAAGAGCAACGGTAGGCAGTAACCTTACAGACCTTTGATGTGTTATGATAAACTACAAGAATGATATCATTTGAATCTCAGAGGTCGTGAAGTGCATTTTCACCTATCGCTGCAGTTGATGACGAGTGAAGCAATTAATCCGAGCTTAGTGTGAACTGACAAAATATTGCACATTGAAGACCTTGAGAGCTAAACCGATCTTAGTTCTTATTGAGTTGAAGATGACATAAGAGGATTCCCGCGCTGCCACGTGACGTCACAGATAACGACTGCTTGTCGTCTGCTTCTTACGACGAACAATCCGACAAAGGTCGTGTATTCCATACAATATATGTGTATCAAATCATGAAACGCCAAAATTTTCATAAACTTTTGTTTTAATTTTTGTCATGTTGATGCAAAGTTGTAAACGATAGTTTTACAACTGAAAAGTATTTTACGACGAATAAACAGTTTAACTTCTAAGTCAGTGAAAATGACTTACTTATTGCATACCCGACCAAGGCTTTCTCTCGTAACTCACCAAATATTGACAAAGGAAAGCCTATATTCATTAGGATACCATTTATCAAGATTCAGCTATCGCAAGCTTATTCTTCGTTTACCGTATTTGACAGTTGCTTCGGAATGTGCAATACCACGTCCCAGTGCTAGACTCGAACAACGCTCTCCACCTTCGAAATTTAAAATTTATAGTTTTAACACACCCTTTCGACCTGACGAATGTCTCTACTCCTTGGTAGGGGGTGTATTTTATCATAAAAATCATACAAGAGAACGATGACTTTCTCCAAGGTTTGTTTTAGGTCGTGATTTGTTGCAGTTAAATGCCAGTCGTACAGGCGTGTGTGGTATAGGGATATAAGACTATGTTATCCGCTCTTATGTAAGACTTAACATTTGTACCTGTGTGCACTGACAGGTATACCTCGGACGATAACGCTGCTGACGGGGGGCAAGTCAGATAGCATTTATTACGTGCTGGAGCCACCTGCTTTACTACAAGCTGACCAGGAACGTGAGGGATAATTCATACAGACACTATCTCTAAATCATACAAAATGACTTGTAAAAGTGTGTGTACAGTTCAAAATCAATCCGGGGATTTTGGGTTTGACATGCAATTATGATGTCAGAATAAATCCGATGATTGATGCTGCGGATGAAACGTATGCCAATTGTATTTATGTTACATTGTACTACCATACCTGGCAAGTCACACATAGTTTTATTCAGGCTCAGAGTATCGTTTGATAGAGAGTCAGTAATAATTCACGACTTTGGAACGTAACGCTATGAAGTTTAGGACTTTACATTCATGCTGATAAATAACCTCGTTTACGGCCAATAGCAGATCCAGATGAATATTTACCAAGAGCATCATCAATGTTGTAAAGCAATTTGTAATCATGTAGGTGTGCAATAATTAATCATATCATAAATCGTAAAAATAAAATTTTAATAAAACAACAAAATATGACCGCAAACAGATGCTAACAAGCATGTGAAAAATATTTTGATAATAGATTAACGTATTGTTTATATAAATCAATTGTTTGTTAAAACAAATATCGACATGAATTCATGATACATAAAAACCTTTTAATAATACAAAGTATACATAAAAAGAAACTATTGATATCATTCTATTTCATGAATATATATTAATCCGAAAACGAAATATTTTCCATCAAATTTGAAAACGATGTTAATGCGCGTTTTGTTTCGGTAGCGTAATTTTGTTTACATTTTATAAGCAGTACATAAAGTATAGCTACAACATACCAATTCACAAACTGCAATAAAATATTACAGGATACAAAAGTACACAGGTGCGTGTCGAGTTAGCGACTGCCCTGGTTAAATAAACTACTAATCTGGTGGCGATAAGCAGTCATTCATTGAAAGGATATTGTTTCTTTAAAATCCAATAGTGTTTCTGATATAATACAAAATCGATAAAGTTTTATTTATTTAAGGATTTTGGACTTCCTAACCGAAACACCATGCACCTGTCAACTCTAAAAAAAATACTAAAATAAACGACAAAATATTTTATCCAATCCAATGAATACAATTTTTGAGAATGAATGTGTTTAAATAATTGTTTTAAAAAAGATTATTAATAAATAATTGTTGATATATCGATATTACTTTATGATTTCCTTGGATAAATCAGACATATTGTGTAAGTTTTGAGAAAAAAAATCGTAGTATAAATTTACAAAAATGCCATTGGCATAATTTATGTATATAAATTAACAGAAAATACTGATAAGTATCATTTATGTATAATTATGCTCGTTCAAAAAAACAACAATAATAACATGCAAATATTTAAATTAGCATGGAAACGTTAAGCAATATTGCGACGAGTTTATTATCATATTTTTGATTTACCAAATAAACAATTCATTTATGACAGGACTTTTTAAATATATATCAGTATATATATATAAGAGAACAGCATGTAAATCCTATAAACAATGGTTAGGAATGAGTTAGGAGATCGATCACTGCCGTATTTTTAGCTATACAACAACACACTGATATTTTGTCGGTCATGTTTTTAACATTGGCCGAGACGTGGGCGTGACTTTTATGTAATAAACAAAACGGATGAGAGGTGATGTAACAAGATTCTAGGATAGCAATCTCATGCATATTTTTGTTTTATTTTTATTTGTTTTTCGACTCTGAGAAAACTTGCTTCTCTGTGAGACCTATCGCTCTATGATATTGTAAAATATCTCACGTGGATTTTTCATTATGAAAAATTTATCTTGGATTAATTAATTTTATTCATGCAATATATATAGACAGATCTTTTTCTAGATCATTGTTTTATTGTTATTATTGTGTCAAATCAGATCTAATGTTTTCTCAATATCCTAAATAAATTAATCGGATGGTATCGAAAGCTTAACATGTTTAAAATTAAAACTACTTATGATTATGTTTCCTGAGTTTATTATAATCATTTTGAAATGTCGCTTTCTGGTGAAACATGAACGCAAGGTTAAGGAGAAAACTCGTAGTTTGAGAACAAATATACATCGATGCATGATTATATTATGTAATTACCATGATAATTAGATTGAAGATTTTATGACTTGTATTGTAATTGACACGATTTTATACACGCGTGTTACACGTACGAAATAGCTTTGTGATACATGACATATTGACTATGATAAATATGCTAACTTTTGTTCACAAAGATTTAATAAAGAAATGTCAGTAATTTATGTGTGTGTTTCTTATTTACAATGTAGCAATGTCGCTGAGATTGTCCACATGGTCACAGATAGGGTTGCTTAGTACAGTCCACGCCAGATAGACACTGAATAATTAACTACCTTGTAAAGTGTGGGGTCAAGATACCTACAGAATGATGTTAACATTTTTGAAATCGTATTTTAATTAATTGAATTGTAATTAAGGACATTTAGATGCTTAAAATTATTCTATTCCTCTCTAAAAAAATATAATTTTCCATAACTTTACATATGCATGGATATACATGTGTACATATGTCTAAAGTAAACAAATTTTACAACAACATTATATCTTTTTGTGACATTGATGACATTTATGACCTTAGTGTAACATTTATTCTGAAAAGTTTGAGATTACCTACTAAGCTTATAAATTTCTGAACCTTGATATGAATACAAAGTATACCAGAAAAGCTTTGAAAATATCATCGAGTTGTATCCAAATTAATAAAGTTTAGAAAACATTTAATTCAATGGTTTATGATTATTTATTAAAAAAAAAAAGAAACACCACATTAAGTGGTTCAAAATGATAATCTTTAAGTACAAATTGCGATTATATTGTAAAATTGTCTCGAAATTAATTTGAATGTCTGATTTGATGTGTTATTGAGATAATGAAGGTTGGTGGTACCGAATCATGGAATTATTAATTAATCATACCGAGTAATGCAGAATTTAACAAAAGATTACTATCGTTCAAGCGAAAAGTAGCAACACTATTCTACACGACACGCCATAAACAGATCGTTATTTAAAAAAACAGTTATTTCTTCGAAAGGAAATGACTGACGCTTTAAACTTTAAAAGGTCTTGAACTGAAGCTATTGATTTGTATCTTAACTGAAACATCAAGTAAAAAAAAAAGGACACACAGAACAGAAAGGAAAGGAGAAATCTGATTGTAACGAGATGCATACGGTTTGTAGGAAATTCAGAACTTACAAGTATTCAGGATAGGCAGGTGTTCTAAAATGATTTAATTTAGTATCATGTTCCCATGCTTTTTAGATAAATAAAAAGTATCTTATATATTTCCGTACGTCTAACGTTAGTTTATGAATATATCGTTATTGTATATTCCGTTGAATGAGAAACAACCTTTATATCATATAAGAATATACACAAAATAAGTGCAAACATTAAATTTGTGTTGGTGTATATATTTACAATAAAAAAGAACACTGTAGTAGGTTATGGATTTTTAACAGAAATGCGCAGTGCATTAAAGTAAGTTTCCGATAAAATGATTATATACATATACAGAGTTCTGACTGTTTCAAGAAACGATTATAAAAATGTCAAATCCTATTGCATTCATTTTACATCATGGTAATACAGTCTCTAGGTATTACCAATTTCAGTTACAAAATCACATACGCTAATTCATTACCTCTTAGAATCGGCCAATTGATATAAAATATGTTAACAAACTATAATTTTGTAATGCAAGTCAACAACAGGAAACAAAGGAACAAAATTTTCATCTTTTCTTTTTCTTTCCGTCTTCAAGCTATTCAAAATTAAACATGTTTGTATTGATATGAATTATTTATCAATTACTACCCTCTCAAGCTAGAGACGTCAAACACTGATAAACTATTTGAGACAATGTAAACAGTAAGTTCGATAGGAAATGATGCAAGAAACCGGCAATCAGTAACTGAGTTGTGTTTTTGAATTGGTTGTTATGAACTAAACTGATAATAAAATAATAATTAATTTAAACATCACACTGTGGTGTAATGTCATTTGTTAAAAATCATTGCTTAGCAGTGTGTACGCAGATTAGACAGTTAATTGGTATGGTTGTTTAAATGATAAATATGGATGGGGCTGGTAAACTGATAAACTTTTCGGAATTACCCTGATCAGCACTTTCGAATTACTTCAATACTTACCTGTGTTTACAGGTGGCCTAGCCATTCCTACCATGTACTAAGGAATCAAACCGTCTGTTGGAGTCAGCTACATATATCTAATGGGGCCTTCTGTCAACTGCCCGTATAAAACTCAAGTTTAACGTGACCACTGATACCTTTACATTACATTTATATTACCTCTAGATTCTAATACGATGCTGTTGACATATTCAACATATATGTAGATAATTCCAAAGATAATCACTAATAATAGAACAGATACCTCTCATGTTAGAGTATAACCTTTACGAAGCTCTGACCATATGTCACACGAAATCAGTGAAACTTACAAACATATTATGTTACAGAACAAATTATATATATTTGATATGCCAGTAAACCGTATAGTTTACGAAACTATGAACATGAGTGAAGTAGGCTTACATGTCGTGACAAAAATGGATTAGGTTTCAGCTCTATGAAAACAAGACTTCAAAGTGTTGGTACCTAGGTAAGAGAATTAGAAATATAAGCTACGTTTTGTTAGATATTATCATGATTCATATGACCAGATGTATGAAAAAAAAAGTTATCTTTAAAATATGATTTTATTTTCCATCAAAAAGTATATTATCGTTATTTCTCTATTATTATAAGTTTACTGGGTTTTCTTCAAAACTCAAAACGTAATATCTAATATTTCAGAACAGATTTACACCATGTCTGTCCTCATTTCGTAACGTCTAATACTAGATCAAATACCTCTCATGTAAGATTATAACATTTACGAAGCGCTGACCATTTGTCTCACGGAATCAGTGAAATTTACAAACGTGTCATGTATTTACAAAATAATCAATGTACTTGTACATTAATTACCATTGCCTCCCATGATGTGTTAATAAAAGAAATATTGACTTCTGTATTGAAATGAAATGCAAGCACTTATTTGCTGGGGTGATTTGCTTCTGTTGCGTAAACATTGCTATTATATAATATTCGATGATATACAGATATGTTTAAACAGAAGATGTTCCACTGCGACTGTTGCCGCCGGAGCTGGTGAATGAGGAAGTGAACAGGAAGACCTACAGTCGTAACGTCGACTGTGCTGGTTGAGTCCAATATCAATATTGTAATGATGCTATATCTTGTTTCAGCAGTAACAAATGGGTTTACAATGCTAGGTAAAGACTTCTGTGGGCAGGTATTTAGTCAGTGTCAGATTTGCCAATACCGTCAATAGGCTAGCATTGTGCTGGCCATTTAACCTCGGACAGATACAAATCCGCATTTTACTTGAGTACGTTCCATGATAAAGGAAATCAGAATTCCGATGAAAGCTTGGATATTTCATTCAGGGTCGCCAAAGATTTCATGTTTAAAGAGCCTTGGTTATAAATGAAGGTAAGCTGGCACAAAAATAGAGTGCCGCTCCTACTCAAAGGAATTATACGGCATTAAACCTTCCAATGAAATACATCTGTACTTCCTGCAACAGAAGTCCGCATACAATAACCCTATTTGATCAAAGTGCAGGCCTTTTTCAATTGAGGACCAGAGGAGAACAAAGACTGTCCGCCATTGTCATCAGAGGACAGGGGGCGAGCCCATTCGTCCCTAGCATGTCATTCCCGTCCGCGCCTGCCATTTATCGCCGAGATACACTGTCGCTTATTGGCGAGGCTTTGCCTGGACGAAGCTGGCTTGGACTCCTGTGAAAAACACGCTAAACGCCGACCAGTAGACCCATAACACGTGTTGTTGACACTATCGATCAATGGAAAATAGATGATTTATTGCCCCAATTGGATATTATTAATTGATGTGTCTATTGATACAAACAGTGAAGGGCATAATGCAGCCTTTTGCTGTAGAAGAAAGCGATGTGAATCGCCCTGTTCCATCTGATGGGGTAATTTACGCGATGTCTCTGTGTAGTGGCAAGCGATGCCTACAGACTGTCTAATGAGAATGGCTTATCTACGGATACCGCTAAATCCTCACCAACTAGCGTGCTCCGGTTCAGTGCTACAACGACTGGTGTGGTCG